GGGTGGCGGAGGGGTGTTGTGGGACAGATGGGCAGATGAGGGATGTAATGTGGAGAGAATAATGAATACATATAGTATGTGTATTAAATGGTTCCGACAGTTTGTTCAGAAACATGCATGTGAGTAGCCTGCTGGCAGTCAGTTTGTAGAGCTCTAGGAGTCTTCCTCATGTTCCTCCAGCACAAAGAAGCAGATATCATCTCTGCTTCTACGTTCATACCCTTCTCTGGCTCTTTTCAGCTCTTTACAGCACATCTTACTCCACACGCTTTTTGTGACGGCACACGTGAAGTCCTGGAGGTGCTGATCTATCAATGCAGCCTGAATGGGCTCCTGGTTCTGTCTCATGATACCAGCATGACGAGCACACTAGCAAGAGGAAAAAGTAGATAAAAATCAGTCAGGGGCGATGATGGGATAACAATGGTCCGTGGCCACCACCTGCAGAACCATTCGCTTTGTGGAGTTTGACTTGTTTTCTCTCCTGTTCACCCGTTGTCACTTTAAGTTTCCCCAAAGCAGCCGAAACTGATCCACTGCAATTTACGCTTCCTAAGTGGACAGATTGATATCCCTGAAATTTAACTGTGTCATATTGTGATGATCAAGTGTTTCATTTTTTGAGCATGAGGCAGTATTATTTAAACTTTGGCTCACTGGGACCTCCATACACGACTCAACCTTTGACAAACTAAAAGCAGGTTTTAGATTCTTTGATGCAGCACATTCAAGCTGTATTCCTTTCTTCTTATTCTATAATTCCTTAGTTTAAACATGGATATTTATTCACTAAATCTGTGAAATCTGTAGAGTTGTTCACTCTATTTACAGGTCAGATAACGTCGTTTAACTCAGACTCTGTACTGTTTGTTCAGTTTCTTTCACTGAAACATCTGCTGAGAAGGATCAAAATGTGCTTTCCTCCTCTAAGCAAGTAAACTACCAGTAATCTGCAGTAAAGAAGCTTCTTTGATGATCCATTGTAATTGGCTGTTGTGAGAGTGGACTGTCACTTTTTAATAGGAGCTACAGAACCTAATCCGCCCTTTTTAAAGCCTGAGATCACGCTGACTTGTGGCTGCACAGCAAAGTTTCATTAGTCTATTTAGCCGCTGACTGTTTCCTTATGTTGATCCTTAATGTGTCACCCATTCGGTAATGCAATACATGCGCCACTTAACGTTCTGCTTTGGTTAAGGTGACACGGCGAGCAAAGAGTACCCTCCAGTCGCTGAGACATGAGGAAAAAGGCAAAGATTTTTGATCCAATCAGAATCAGGATACTTTATCAGTCACAGGGGAAGCTGCATCTGGACAGGTGCTCAGTGCGAATATGAAATGTAGAAAAATATAAACTGAAACATATTACAATAAATACTGCAATAATATTATGGGGTTTTTTTG